GTATAAGCCGAGCTTTTCATAGTAAACTAACATTTTGAAGGTGAGTGGCAAAGGTGACTATATATTTCATTAGCCTGTGCCCTCTCCGTTTGATGGATATTGTTTGATTCAGTTTCCTCAGATTTTGGTTAGAACTTCTGAATCTCTCATCTCTCTTCCTGTGGGTCCGTTGTTTTCTTGTACTATATTTATCTGGTTTTTGGTATTAGTATAATGCTGGCCTTATAACATGACTCAAGAAACGTTCTCTTCTCTTCACTTTCAGAAAAATGTGAATAAAATTGGCATTACATTTTCCTTAAATATTTGGTAGAATTCAGCTTTGAAGCTGTCAGGGCCTGGAGATTTGTGAGTTTTTAACTGTAAATTCAGTTCCTCTTGTGGACACAGAGATATTCATTAAGTGTCTCCAAGTGAGCTTTTGGTAATTTGTTTAAGGAATTTGTCATTTCTGTCTGAGTTGTTGAGTTTATTGGTGTAGAGTTGTGTGTGTGTGTGTGTATGTGTGTGATGCTGCAGATGGAACGCAGGGCCTATTCCACGCAAGGCAAGCGCTGTCCCTGGTGTGAGGTTTTTCCAATATCCTTTTCATGTCAGCAGAACCTGTAGTCACCTCCTCTCTCCATCCTGGTGTTATAATTTGCCTTCTCTCTTTGCTGATAAGTCCAGGTAGAGGCCTGTCCACTTTATTTAAAATAATCAGGATTATTTCATTGTTCTTCTGCTTTCTATTTCACTTTGTTCTAATCCTTTTTCTTTTTCTTTTTTAGTTTAGGCTACATTTGCTTCTCTTTTTCTAGTTTCTTAAGGTAAAAACCTCAGAGATCATTAATTTGAGACCTTTTCTAACATAGGTAGTGTTTTAAATTTCTTCCTAGGTAAATACTGCTTTTGTGGCATTCTGAAAATATTGATACATTGTGTTTTCATTTTCATTCAGTATAAAATATTTTCTGATCTCTCCTTTGTCCAGTTGGTTGTTTAGAAATACATCTATTATTTCTCAAATATTTGGGCGAGGGCTGGGGCTGGGGCTGTAGTTCAGTGGTAGAGTGCTTGCCTTGCACATGTGAGGTACTGGATTCAATCTTCAGCACCATGTAAAAATAAATAAAGACATTGTGTCCATCTACAACTAAAAAATATTTTTAAAAATATTTGGGGGATTTTCCATACATCTTTATGTTGTTTATAATGTAATTCCATGGTCAGGAAATATGCTTGTGTGACTTGAATTCTTTCAGCTGTTTGAGACTGCCTTTGGACCGAGAACCTAGTCTGTCCCTGTCAAGCTGCGGGGGGCTGTTCTCTCTGTCTTGGTTTTCTGTGATGTGCTAAGAAAGGGGTGTTGAACCTCCCTGTGTAGCTGGGACTTTGTGTTTCTCCTTTCAGTTCTCCCAGCTTTTGCTTTATATATTTTGAAACTGTGCGGTTGGGTATGCACTATAGAGCTGCTAAATCCCTCTTGATGCATCATCCTTCATCTTCACACATTGACCTTGGTCTCTGCTAACCTCTTTGCTCTGAAATCTGTGTTTTCGGACAGTAACAGTGTGGACATTGGGCTTTTGTCTTGTCAGCATAGCATCATCTGTGTTCTTCCAGCCTTTCCCTTGGAACATTTGCGTTTTTATATTTAAAGTGCAGCACATAGTCTGGTCTTGCTGTTTTAAAATCCAGTCTGTTGGCTGGGGTTGTGACTCTTTAGAGCGCTTACCTAGCATGCATGAGGCACTGGGTTCAATCCTCAGCACCATATAAAAATAAAATAAAGATATTGTGTCCACCTATAACTAAAAACTAAATATTTTTTAAAAATCCAACCTGTCTCTGCCTTTTAAATCAGTGTGTTTAGATATTTGTTGTGATTATTAATAGCTAATTTATCCGACTCTGTCTTCAAGTGAAATGCCCTTTCCTGTCCTCTGTAAGAACCTTGCAGTATCTGGGCACAGTGGCTGCTCAGGAGGCTAAGGCAGGAGATCAAGGTTTAAGTCCAGCCTCAGCAACTTAGTGAGACCCCATCTCAAAAGGAAAAAGGGCTGGGGTGCAGCTCAGTGGTAGAGCAGCCCTGGGTTCAATTCCCAGTAACAAAAATAAAAATAAATAGATTTCACGATTATTTAAAAAAAAAAAAAAAAAAGGAGAGGCTTGTAGGAGTGTGCTGCATCTCTGCTCCCAGCCTGGGTGCTTCTGCTCCTTGTCCTGCACTTTGCTTGTACATGTGCTACATGTATGTTATTTTTGTTTAAAAAGTCAGTTATCTTTTAAGGATATTCAAATAATAAAACAAATATAATTACCATTTCCGGCTTTGAGTGGATCCACATTTTGTTCAGTTACCATTTTTTTCTCTTTTCATACTACCGTAGGACAGATTTGCTGATGATGAATTCCTCAGTTTTTATATGTCTAAAAAGTCTGTTTCAACTTTTTTTTGTTTGTTTTATCTGTTTATTTTTAGTTCTAGATGGACATAATACCTTTATTTTGTCTGTTTATTTTTAAGTGGTGCTGAGATGGAACCCAGCACCTCACCTGTGCTAGGCCAGTGCTCTACTACTGAGCCACACCCCCAGCCCCACACCTTGATTTTTGAAAGATATTTTTAAGGAATATAGAACTCTCAGTTGACAGGGTTTGGTTTTTTTTTTTTATGTTTTTTGTTGTTTTTTTTTTCAGTATTTTAAAAGTTCTGCTCCATTGTCTTCTCACTCCCATGGAGCCCAACAGGAGCTCTGACGTCATCGTTTTCTTATCCTCAGTGTGCTCCTCATTCTGGCTGCTTTAAGCATTTTCTCTTTGTCTCAGGCTTCAGTGTTTTGTTATGGAGTGTCATTTTCTTCATGTTTCTTGGGTTGGAGTTCATTGAGCATCGTGGATCTGTGAGTTTTTTTTTTTTTAAGCTTCATCAGTGTAGAAAAATTTTCAGGTGTTAATCTTTAAATATTTATCTATCTCCTCCATTTCTTTTCAGATACCAATTGCACGTATGTTGCTTTTCTAAAGTTGTCACACAGCTCACGTGCTCTATTCAGGCTTTTAAGTTATTTTTCATCCATCCTGCAGTTAGTTCTGTGTTTTATAAAGTTCAGTGATCTTTTTGTCTAACAGACTTCTCTTGTGTTTCTCCCTGTGAACATGTCTTCATCTCCAGGTATTGGGTTGTACATCTTTTACATTATCCTCTATTCTCTTCTCATCTTTTTGAACAGTTACAATAACTGTTTCAGTGTCTTCTCCGCCTCTAACTTTTCTGACAATTCTCATTTCATTTTGGATGTTTTTGTTTTCCTATAAAAATTGAGCTTTGTTCTGGGACCATAGTGAATTTAGTTGAAATAGTTTGGTCCTTTGGAGTTTTTTAAGATTTGTCAGGCAGGACCAGAGCATTGTTTAGGGCTAATGCCCACCATAAACACTAGATCCTTCTGAGTGTTCAAGCCAGGGTCCCCTACACTGAGGTTCTCTAGCTGATGGGTGTCACTTGCCCCACTGTTGAGCAGGAATCCTGTCTCCTCCTGCTCTTCATGGTGCTCCTTGCCCTCGCAGGGTTAGATCCTTACTCACACACACCCATGAACACTGGTGAATGTTTGTGGACAACCCTTTGCGCAAGTGTCTGATATTTCCACTCTCTGCAGCCCTCTCGGACTTCTTCTTGTGAATCCAGTAGCCTAGGTTCCCCTCTAATTTCTTTAGCCATTGTGTCAAATCTCCTTGAATGATAACCAACTTGTCAGCCTGCTACATGTGACATCCCAGATTATTCCACTGATGATCTGTCTGTAATCCTGAGAACCAAATAGTTGTTAAATGAGTTCTGGAAAATGTTTTCATTTTAAGAGTCAGCTGATGAAACTCAGAAAAACTTTGAAAATAAAAAAAAAAAAACTTGATTTAATCAACTTTGATAATTTAGAAAAGATAACATAGTAGCAAGAGTTTTTTAAAGTAGCCAAATACTCACTAGTGATACATTAATCCAGCAACTTAGTCCTACGGTGGATTTAAATTTTTTTTTAAATATTTGATGTATGTAAAGTTTACTATGTAGTTGTAGATGGAGTGCAAGAAACTCAGTTTTAAATCTTTGGAGGAAGAGTATTTAACTTTCTGACTTGATGCTTTTACTAACAGTGAACACTAAGAGTGCTTTAAGAATTATTTTCAGTAGCCTTCTTATTGTCTGCTAAAGTTCATGCAGAAGCTGAGCTGATGAGCTTCACCTCTAACTATGTTGGTGTTATTTGCTAGTAGTATACATCAATCAGTACTCTGCCACAAAGAACATTATGATTTTATAAACTCATTGTTAGATTAGTTTCACATATTAAAATATGTTAAAGGGAATGCTGTTAAATCAAGAGTGTCATCTATCACAAACAATCGGAAATTCAACCTACGTATGTAAGAAAAGTTATAGTAGGTATATATAGTGTAGCCTGCCATGGTATAAAAATGTTTGTGTTTCACCTTAATTTGTATGAAATAAGCAATAACTAGTCCTGAAATATTTAGGCATATGAAAGAATTGATCACCTGTATAAAACTTAAATTTAAAGGACTAATTCATTTTGCCAGTGTTTCAATAAAATTAATATTTGACTGCTTATTTCTGTTACACTTAAATGTGAACTAGTGATTTGTTAGTAAATTCTTTCAGTGTTACATATAAACAAAAATTTATTATTAAAAATTTATTGTAATCTAATAAAATGTTTTTATTAGTCCTGTCTCTTGAGATAACAAAATAAACCATCAGTATAATTGAGCACAGACAGAACATAAACTTCTCAATTTTCCTGTTAAAAGATAGTAAGCTTTTAAAAGTTTACAGTGTCATTTAATTTTAAATGTCAAAGGTTCCAGGGGGAAAATAGTGTTCTAAGATCAAAGGTATTTCAATAAAGGGGAACAGTTTGTTTTTTTTCTACAAGATAAATAATTTGGTTTACATGTATATATAATGCATATATTTTTTTCTCTCATTTTTGTAGGTTCTGCCGGAGACTTAGATTTGGCCTCCATGTGAAATGAAAGTAGGAAACTGCACGCGCGTATCTGTTGCTGTCAGGATGCTGGTTCAGTGGTCATGCCTGAAGAGGGAGGTGCTGTTCTAGAGAGCTGATGGCCAGCACGGGTGGATGCTGGTCCTAGGTGTCAAGCTTCTACCCTTTCTACTGGAGTGAAAATCCCCTCCAGGTACAACAGCACACCAACTACAGAAAATGCCTTGTGTTCTAAGGATGTCAGCAACCTAGATTCATGTACCTGTCTGCACAGTTGTGGATGGTTTGCCATCTGAGAGCTCCTCGAGTTCTATCCAGGCCCCGTGTCTGTTTCTGACATGTCTCTGCTTCATGCTTTGGGCCCAGTGCAGACCTGGCTGGGACAAGAGCTGGAGAAATGTGGCATCGATGCCATGATTTATACTCGGTACGTCCTCAGTCTCCTGCTGCATGACAGCTATGACTACGACCTGCAGGAACAGGTATTCATTCATTTACATATTTTAAATGTCCTGTGAAAACCGATGATTGTATTTGCATGTGTTACGTTCTTAACAAGGGCGATTGTGCTCCAGAGCAGGCCAGTCAGTGTGTGGTGTGCAGAATCGACTCTGTCAGGGACGAGATGACAAGTTGGAACTTGGGTTGGAACTTGGCAAGTCCTATCCCTCAGCACACTGAGGGTTAGTTCGTCGTTTGCTTGGCAGCTTTCTCCGTGTCACGGGCATTGGAGATGTTGCCTGGATTGCCGATAAGTTGATGGCCTGCTCTTTGAGCAGCACTGTCCTGCAGCCTTGGCTCCACATTCAGGCAGTTGTATATCACAGCTAGGTGTTTAGTCATTGTTCCTGTTCACTTCTTACCATCCCAAAGTTTAACACCTGGATCTTATTGGCAAGAGTGATGTTAATTAGCGTGACAAATCATTAGACTTAAAGTTCTGTAAAGCTCATAACTTTGCCAGAAGTCACTGTATGTCACCTTGTAATTCAGACATTGTGAATTTTTTTTGACATGGGTGCTGAGTTTAAAGTGAGAAACCAACCAAATCTGGGTTCTTGAAAAATAACTCAACCTCAGTCTCATTCTCCAGGAGGAGCTCCTCAAGTGTGGCCTGCCGAAGGGAAGCACAGTTTTCAGCCACCAATGGATGGGCTCTGGGTGACCTCTGCCTGCAAATTTCACATAAACTCTTGGTTTTTATAGAACCTTGGTGGGAAGAAAGGGCTATTTTATGGACTTTTATTTTTCAAGCCATTGTTACTAACACTGAAAACAAAAACAAAGTTTCATTGACAGAGAAACTGCCTTTGCCCTTCCAAGCCACCAAAGCACCTGAGGTTCTGTAAGTGTAACATGCAGAACATCTCCTCGGGTCTCCCGCGTCCCTGTACAGACAGGCCTTCCCCCTGCAGGTGTCTCATCATGTCTCTCTGGACACATGACTTCCAGGCAGCTTACAGCCTGGGCCAGAGGGAACTGGGAAGTGAGGTTTCCAGAGGGTTGACTCAGAACCTGATGAACAGCAGATGGGTTCGGTATTTGGTAGTTTCCTTACTAAAGCTTGACAATTTGCCTCCATCTTTGTAGCAAATGCAGAATAGAGTATTTAGGGACAAGTAAAATATTTAATCTATAAGCATGGAAGAACTTTCCAGAAGTAAGAAACATCTTTCTTATAATTAAAATAATCACATACTTCAGTTATAAACATGTACTTGTGTTTACATGGGAATAAGTGATTTTTTAGTAGGACTTTAATATAATTTCAATTCTTAGAGATGTATGTCAGCAGTTTCAGCTTAGAATATTTAATCAATAAATTAATAAGTTCATTAAAATTAAATTAGTACATTTACTAACCCAAAGTGTTCATGTGCTAAGGGCTGTAAAACATTTAGGGTAAAGCATAGGCCTGTTCTTGATAAGATTGTGGTGAAGCACATCTCTGATGAGATTTGATGGTACACCCGCTGGTGTCTCTATGAGCTGCAGCTGGTGGGGGTCTGCCTGGGTTTGGTCCTCCCTGCTCAGTTGTGGTTCATCATCAGGACATAGAAGGTACAGGTTGGTGAAAACGGTGTATCTGGAGTTATGAGAAGGACCCACAGGGAAATAAAGACCCTAAAATACTGCTCCACTCAGCCCTGGGAAGCAGACATGCGTGTCGTGTGTTAATGAAGAAGTTCAGATGGAAAACCATACCTGACAAGAGGTGACTTGGTGCTGAGGCAGGTATTCACCCCTCTGGCTGGTGGTGCTGGCTGCGCGCTGAGCGGTGGTGAACCGCTCCATCTGGTGTGGAGGTGCCACAGCTGGCAGGGATTTCACCTCATGGGCTTTCCTGCTTTCCTTCTCTGGTTGTGACTGCTGTGCTCTGGTAGGTATATTCTCAGACAAGAATTCCCTGTGTATCACTTTTAGATGATATTAACTGCTTTTCTTCCTCGTCCTTCAAAGCTCAGGTCACATTTTCTTTGAAACTTTCAGATTCTTCTCAAAAGCAATGTCTTTTACCACGATCGACTGTGTCACTTCTGTGCAGCTTTTCACTTTGTTTGCTGGAATGTGTTCTCTTTCTCAGTCAGCTACAACATCCTTGTGGGCAGAAAATCACTTTTTTTTTTTTTTAAGATTTCAACTTTTCCTTGAAAAGTCATTTCTAACATCAGAAGAGCAGCAGGAGTAGTGCACACTCTTGTGGTGGTCACTCAGGCCACAGTTGGTGGTGCCTTCACCCTTTGCTTTATCTCTGTTTTGTGCATGCCACTTCCTGAGTGCACCAGTGTGCACGTGCTGGTGGCACCTGGAGCATCCTGCCTCAGGGCACATCCCTGGTTCCTTTTTAATTTAATTTAATGTCTTTTGTGGGGGTACCAGGTATTGAACTCAGGGAGACAGGGCCTCACTGAGTTGCTTAGCACCTTGCTAAATTGCTGAGGCTGACTTTGAACTTGGGATCCTCCTGCCTGTACCTCCCGAGCTGCTGGGATTACAGGCATGAACCACCACTTCCGGCTTAATTTTATTTTAAGATAGGGTCTTAACTAAATCATCCAGGCCAGCCTTGAACTTGTTGTCCTCCTGTCTCAGCCTCCCAAGGAGCTGAGATCACAGGCGTGGTCACTGAGCCTGGCCTCAGTGTGTCTCCTGGACAGCCATAGTACAATTATAGAATTAAGGAAAATTACTATCAGTGCAACATTACTGTCTCAGACCCAGTCAGCATTTAGTTCTCAACAGTTGTCCCAATGGTGTTCTTCATTGCAGTTTTTTTTTTTTTTAACTCTAGTGTCCAGTGAGGTCATACATTGGTTTTAGTGGTCATGTCTCTAATCTCATCATCCCTTTGTGTCTCATGACATTGGCATTTTTGGAGAGTATAGGCCATTTGCTTTCCAAGGTGTCCCTCAGGTTGGTGTGTTGAGTTGGCCTCAGTTCCTGAGGTTGTGGCAGTGCTGTGACCTAAGTGATGATGTATCCTTCCCTGTGCACCATAGCATGGCATGTGCTGGATGACAGTCTGTGCCTTCTGGCTGATGCTGGCTCTGCTTCAGGTGTTGCCCACCAGAGTCCCACTCCAGAGCCAGTGCTCCTCTCCTTTTGATGAGCCGAGCTGAGCTTGACAGTCTGGAGTCCACTGCTGAGTCCTGCCTACATCAGTTGTTACCGTAGTGGTTGGAGGTGGTGATTTCCCACCTCAGTTCTGCCCCCTGCATTGTAGTTTACATTCTGCAGGGCCTTCCTCTTCCGCTTTCTCTTTTTAAAATCAGTAAAGTAACCAGGTCACGCAGGGAGCACTCAAGCGCACCAGATGCAGTGCTGGCTATTTCTCATGTAGGGATTGCCTTATTCTTTCTCAAGGTAAGCCTTGAAGGTAAAGATGGTGTTCCTTATTACTTAGAGAGCAGTTAGAGGATCCTGGGTCAACATGGTTATAGATACCAGGATTCTTTCAGTCTGCTCCTGTTAGAGCTGTTTTTTTATGCCAGATGACTTTGTGGGTTTTTTTTAAAAATTTTATTTTATATATAACAAATCATTGTCAGATACATAGCAGATTCTATTGTTAAGGGCAAGCTTTTTTTCTTAAATTTTTAAAAATTCTAACTTGTTATACATGACAGCAGAATGCATTACAATTCATATTACACATAGAGCACAATTTTTCATATCCCTGGTTGTACACAAAATATAACACCTTTCGTGTCTTCATATGTGTACTTAGGGTAACGGTGTCCATTTCATTCCAATATCTTTTTTTACACCCCTTGCCCCCTCTCTTCTACTCCCTCTTCTTTGCCCTATCTAGAGTTCGTCTAATTTTCCCAGGCTTCCCCTCCCAACCCCACTATGAATCAGCCTCCTTATATCAGAGAAAACATTTGGCATTTAATTTTTTGGGATTGGCTAGCTTCACTTAGCATTATTTCTCCAACTCCATCCATTTACCTGCAAATGCCATGATTTTATTCTCTTATTGCTGAGTAGTATTCCATTGTGTATATATACCACATTTTCTTTATCCATTCACTACTGACTGACAGGCATCTAGGTTTAGCTGTTGTGAATTGTGCTGCAATAAACATTGATGTGGCTGTGTCCCTGTAGTATGCTGTTTTTAAGTTCTTTGGGTATAGACCGAGGATTGGATAGCTGGGTCAAATGGTGGTTCCATTCCAAGTTTTCCAAGGAATCTCCATACTGCTTTCCATATTGGCTGCATTATTTTGCAGTCCCGCCAGCAATGTATGAGTGTACCCTTTTCCCCACATCCTTGCCAACACTTATTGTTGTTTGTATTCTTAATAGCTGCCATTCTGACTGGAGCGAGATGAAATCTTAGTTTTGATTTGCATTTCTCTAATAGCTAGAGATGAAATATATATTTTTTGTATATTTGTTGATTGATTGTATTTCACCTGAGAAATGTCTGTTCAGTTCCTTGGCTCACTTACTGATTGGGTTATTTATTTATTTATTTGGTGTTAAGTTTCTTGAGTTCTTTATATACCCTAGAGATTAGTGCTCTATCTGTTGTACAAGTGGTAAAAATTTGCTCCCAAGTTGTAGGCTCTCTATTTACTTCACTAACTGTTTCTTTTGCTGAGGAAAAGCTTTTTAGTTTGAATCCATCCCATTTATTAATTCTTGATTTTAATTCTTATGCTGTAGGAGTCTTATTAAGGAAGTAGGGGCCTATCGGATATGATGGAGATTGGGGCCTACTTTTTCTTCTGTTAGATGCAGGGTCTCTGGTTTAATTCCTAGTTCCTGATCCACTTTGAGTTGAGCTTTGTGCATGGTGAGAGATAGGGGTTTAATTTCATTTTGTTGCATATGGTTTTCCAGTTCTCCTAGCACCATTCATTGAAGAGGCTATCTTTTCTCCAGTGTATGTTTTTGTCTAATATAAGATAACTGTAACTATGTGGGTTACTCTCTGTGTCCTCTATTCTGTACCATTGTTCTACCAGTCTGT